ATCTGCTGGGGCGCCGCCGTAGGGTTTAAGGAAACCCAAAACCCGTAAAGGAAGGGTTTTAGGTTTTAGGGTTTTAGGGTTTGGGGTTTAAAACCCTACACCCTAAAACCTCCCAACTTTTCAGAGGCTCCAAATGCACTGCCATTATGGAATTAGGTCCCAAAAGATCATCTTTATCACGGTATTTACGGGCCTAATTCCATAATAGTAGTATATGTGGAGCCTCCCTAAACCCTAAACCCTATAAGCCCTACACCCTAAACCCTATATCCTTATGCCCCAAACCCTAGTAATAGTTAGTATATTCTCTAGGAAAGCCTCAGAAGCCCAGGTGAAGCAACTCTTCAGTTTCCACGGCCCGCGGGCCCGGGGGGTCCTGGTGCTTTCGAATTGGCCTCGGCGTGAACTCTCCCTTATGATGGCTGGGGAGGTCAAGGAAGGGTTTTCAGGGTTTTACGGTTTTGGGATTTTAGGGTTTTAGGGTTTTAGGCTTTAGATTTAGGGATGTTTAGGGTTTTAGGGTTTGGGGTTTTAGGGTTTAGGGTTTTAAGGTTTAGGGTTTTAAGGTTTAGGGTTTAGGGATGTTTAGGGGGGTCTTTGTTAAGGAACTTAATGTAAGTTACCATAATGGGGATCTACAGTAAGTAATATAGTTTCCTTACTATAGTAACTTAAATTAAATCTGGTAACGAGACCCCAGTTTAGGCCGCCGAAATGTCGAAACCTTCCCCAGGAAGGATCCCGTTTTCCTTTTGGAGGATCATGGGACTTAGTAAGTAAGGTTGTAAGTACCTGAATTGGGGTTTATGAGTAGTTATAAGTAGAGTTACCTTCTTTATAACCCTAGTTACCACGTCCCATGATCCTTTAAGTAGAGGCCTAAACCCTAAACCCCGGGCCCTCCCATGATCCTTTAAGTTGGCCTTGGAGGAAGCTTGGGTGGCCGAAGCTCTCTCCATGGTCCACCCTGAGCTGACGAGGAAGCTGCGGAGAACAAGAGTAATTTTGGGGTTTGGGTTTTAGCTGGGGATCCAAAATCCTACCGTTTTATGGGTTCTACCCTCCAATTAAGGGGTCATAACCTACTATTTTGTAGGGTTTGGGGTCACAGGTAGTGTCTTAGGGTTTAGGATTTAAGGAGCTTAGGGTTTAAGGGTGTCAGTTTTCTAAAAATATTTTAAGTGGTGTTAAAGGTTTGTTTCAAACCCCACCGTAAACCTATACGAGACCTCCGAAGAAAATCTTAAGCCTTTGAGCCTAACCGCGAGAGATTGGACCCCTCCCCTCGCATGCGCAAGTTGGCGAGGATGATCATGACAGCCTATGGCCCTCAAGAAGTGATCGAGGAGACGGCGCGGGCTCTGCAGAAGCTGCGCCCGGCCACTTGGGGCCTAGAGCACCGCAGCTTTTCTTTTGCCTTCACTGTTTACCAAATTTTCTTTTTCGGCAAAGTTACGGCGAAGGCCATTTCCTGGAATCTCAAAATGGTCGTGACGAACATGGAGCTTTTGTCCCCTTATCCTGACGTCGGAGACCCCCCAGCTGGGCAAATGCTTCGTGTGCTCCCTTTCAAGGCGCGTAAACTTTTCGGTTGAGTAGCCCCAGTGAAGGGTTTTGGGTTTATGGGGTTTAGGGTTTTATAGGGTTTAGGGTTTGTAGGGTTTAGCAGTATTTCCCTTCGGTAGACCTCCTTTCCTGAACCTCGCCTACAAGAAGCTATCTTGCGAAACTTCCCAAACGTTAAACCCTAAACCCGAAACCCCACCCCAGGAAGCGCCTTTTCAAGCTGTTCCCGCCGGCCTCTGCAACGAAGTGCTTCTTGCGGAGGAGGCAGTGGTAGAAAAGCTCACGGACTACTATGTGGCCTTCAAACAGGATGTCGGAGTATATGACCCTAAAGAAACGCGGGAATCGCACCGACAGGCCATCGAGGATTTAGTTGCCACATGCGAAGTTTATGTGTGGCAAGTGGGCACTGACATTGCTGCCATCTCGGCTGCGCCTAGAGCTCTGGCAGATGTTGGGCGTTCGATCACGATGGTGTACACATCGCCACCGCACCGAAGGCGGGGCTACGCCGCGGCGTTGGTCACAAAGATCGGGGCTGCCCTCACCAAGCGAGGCGGGATAAGCAGACCTTGAGTACTCACCGCGGTAGTCTATCGATGCACTGCTATGCCGTGCTTTGCTATGCTACGTCCTGCATTGGTTGCATCTCTTGTATCCAACTCTAGATAAACCCTAAGCCCTAAACCCCTAAACCCTAAACCTTAAAACGGCATCGACTTCAGGCCTGCGAACGTGCCTCGTCGTGGATGCAAGGGGATCGCATGGTGCCGAGCGCCTCTACGCAAGAATAGGCTTCGCAAAGCAAGGCCAAGTGCAGCAAGTGCGTTTCTCTGGACACGAGCCTGAGCCGTGTGCCTGAAAGGTGAAAGGCATATAGTAGACTGTACCATGTTAGTCTAACACATGTCTATAGTCTAGTAACGTAAGTGCAATGTAGTACCCCAGTGTTCGTACTAATACTGTTGCTATTGTTATTACTGTTGTTAGAATCGTGAATATTATTTTTGCTATTGCCATTACTACTGAAAGAATGCACCTGGTCCTTGGAAAGGTCTTAATGCTGCCCAAAGCACGGTTCAACTGCTACGGGAAACCGAAATCTTCCAATGGCTTGCCGCACATGTACAGAGTACAGAACTTCTTCTTCACTTCACGGGCCTCTTGCGTAGCGAAGTCCGGCG